TAGAAGATGTTGTGTGCTGGGGCAGCAGCATCATGACAAAAGATGCAAATAGGCTCAAGAATATCTCTTATTTGCCATAGATATTAGATAGCCAGCAGCAAAGTGCTTGCCAGAGACTTTCAAGCAGTAAAGGCTGAACAAATACTGCCAAGGGTGCTCCCAACCCTCAAAGGGGGATGAGAATTACACATTTCAGTGTCAGGCCTAATTAGCAGAGGAAAGAAATGCACTAACAGACAAGGGGAATAAATTGCTGCTTTTGTTTGCAAAAATTTGACAGCTCTTAAAATCACACATCTCCTATCTGTAGTTTCAGGGTAAGCACTCGAATTGATAAATGATCACAAACTATGTACATGTGGCAAGAGGAATAAGTCACAGACACCGATTCAATCAAAGCTTTGTATAATTTATTGTTTCGCAAAACAAAATGTGGGAGAAGCTCACTAAGCTCAATGCTCCAATGTCCCATTACCAACTATGTTTAAAAGGAGACAGATGCAGGATAAATTAAGTACCACTTAAATGTGTGATTAAATGCAGACTTTATTCAGCATGTTCAATTTTTTAACACTATGCAGAAAATAAATTCAAAAAATAAAAGCGATGTGAATTAAGACTGTATATGTGCACAGAAATGCACTTTACTCTCCTAATACTCCCATAACATCTATGTTTTTAACACAGTAACCCTGAACATTTGCCAATGTCATTTGCACTAATTGTACAGTTAGTACAGTAAAAAGAACAAGAATAAAAGAAAAAGAACAGTAAAAAGAACAGAACACCTCAAGCTCTTACTTGAAAGCTTGCTGATCAAAGGTCTTATTTCACAGAACACTGCTGTTAAAAAAAGTCTTCTGAGATTTTTAAAAAAATATGTTCACTTTTAACAGACTGTTAGCAGATACAGATGTCTAAAGATCTTTTACATATACTTCAGGGCACACAGAACATGACAACCAAATTATAAAAACTGTTTTTGGCTGTACAAACCACCAAGAGTATACAAGAGTATGTGGCTTTGCTATAAATAAAGAAGAATGTTGCCTATTGTTGAGCTACAATTCATTGTCGAGACGCATAAGGTTAAAGCATAGTAATCAACTCATTCACATTTGGGTGTCTAGGGATAAACTGGATGTCTTTGTCACTCCAAGTTGGTTAACCAAAGAAGCCCAAAATACCTTTTCAGCCTTTTGAAGACTAAGGGGATGGAAGCAGAGGATTTCCTAAGATTGGCTACTCATGGCTCTACAATTTAATTTCAGAGCACAAAAAAGTCAGGTATCATTTTTCTTCACCCTTTTGTTTGTACAATAATCAATATGTAGTTAAAAAGAAAAAGAAACAGTGAACACTAAAATTGTGAATGTATAAAGTATTTTCCAGCAGCTGATGCACCAATAATCGGTGTAATAACCAATAACAAACAATAACAAAAATCATTTAGCTACTAGAAGTCCTTATCTATGGCAATACAATACACTCTGTACAGTGGTGCAAGAAAGTTGGTGAAACCCTTTAGAATTTTCTGAATTTCTGCATAAATTTGACCTAAAATGTGATCAGATATTCATCTAAGTCATAAAAATAGACAAAGAGAACCCAATAAAACAAATAACACATAAAAGGTATAATTTTTAATTCATTTATAGATCAAAATGATCCAACATTAAATGTCGGAAAATACCTATACTAAACCTGACACTGAAGTAGCTCTCTCTGCAATGCCATACACTGTCTTTGTACAGGTGGCACTGGCAGTGCACTTTAGTAATCCCTTTGGTTTTCACAATTTTATTATACTGCATTAATACCAGCTTCATCAGGTAATACTTAAGATTTAACATCACTATTAGCCGTATACAATTTCTTGCATTAGGACTTCGTCTTTTTCGCATACCCCAGCTTGCTCGCCATGAGACACACAGACACCCATACAGGGAGAGAAGAGAGCCTGGGGTCAGAGCGCAGGGTCTGCCATTGTACAGCGCCCCTGGAGGAGTTGGGGTTAAGGTTAAGGACCTTGCTCAGGGGCCCAACGGAGTAGGATTCCTCCGCCAGCTGTGGGATTTGAACCGGCAACCTTCCAGCCACAGGCGCAGATCCTTAGCCACAGTTAATGACTTGTCATCTAAGAAAACTGTTTCTGTTTGCACTTCTTACTTCATGTATCATATAATACATGAAAATACAAGACAAATTTAAGCTCCTAGCCGAACAGCAAACTTAGGCTTAATGTACACAGACACCTTACACAGTAACACTAACCAGAACCTTTTAGGGGGGATTCTGACTGAAAGGCGTTCAGTCATAATGCCACGAATGGCAGCTACACACCATTGACTCCTCAGCCAAGCACAGAAACCAGATGTCTACCCCACATACACCAAATACACCCACATAAAAAACATGGTGACCCAGTGAGGGCCAGCCAGGCTACAGAACACACGACGAAAATAAAAGGTCTCACGTTGAAAAAATGAAGGTAATAAAACTGAAAAAACCCTACATTTCAAACAAAGTGCCATTCTGGAGTTTTAATGATCAGTTAATTCCCCCCTGATTGTGAAACATACCTTTAGTCCCGGACAGTGTGCGAAGAAGGCCTCGGGGCTCTGAGAGTGATACAGCGAGCCGTGCCCCACACAGCCCCAGGGTGCTCGGATAGTCAGGCTGCCACAGTCAAACAGGTTGCCAGAGCGGTACCGGTACTTTGCAGCTTCATTGACTATCTGCAAACACAGAACAAGATTTGCTTGCAGAACACTCACATGTCACTGTAATGCTGGCCTATAAAATGACATGACATGTTTCTCCTTTCCATTTATGAAACCCTCAAGATATCCAAATAGCCCTCACGATCACACGCAACTGTCTAAACCAGGGGTCTCACTTGGACTAACAAAACATTACCAGTAAAATTCGCTCGTTTTGTCATTGGATACTGTAGCGCCCCCGACGGGTGACAAAGCAGAGGCGCGCCAGGATAATGCACGCACAGCGGTGCAGACTGGGAACTGTAGCAGGGGGATGGTCTGTGGGTTCCGCTATATAAGAGACACTATAGCGCTTAATGTAAATAGTAGTTAATTGTTCATTAATGTTTAATCCCTTGTCTTGTAACCACTCTTAACATGCCTTAGTGTCCTATTCACAGCCCTTGTGTGTGTTAACCCGAATTGAGGTAGTGTGTATGCCTTTGTTGCCTGATTGCCACCTGACAGAGTACTATGAATAAAGAAAGTGTGTGTGCAATCAAGAGCGTTGTCTTGATTATTCCTGCACAAGCCCCACGTACGCTACAACAATTCAATTCAATTTATTGTTATAAAGCGCCTTTCACAACAAGGTTGCCCCAAGGCGCTTAAATACATTTTAAACATACATTTTTTGTTCTATAGATTCTCTTTCTGTTTCAATAATTGACAGGGAAATATTTTTCTTATTTATTTTTTATGCCGCTGTAATTTTAATTTTCTGGTTACATCAACATTTGTTACGTAAACAACAGTTCTAGGAAGTATGAATGTGGCCTGCCGACTAGCGCATTTGATCTAATATTCATTTGAGTTTGAGACTCCTGGTCTAAACCATATTCAATATTCAATATGAAGATTTTGCATGTATCAAAATCCTACATTAATAATTAGACCAAAATAGCAAAGGAAAAAAATAGCCATTTCCTAGGAGACTGACATTGCTTGCTCAAACCCCCACCATCCTGCACAGCCAATCCAGGGTAAACATCCTCTGAGGCCTCAATCTCCCAAGGGCACAAAGAGGAAAAGAGAAACCAGTAAGGGCAGAATATCATCCAGAAAGATCACAGAGGTTCCGATTTAAGAAACAAAAAACTGAGGCTAAAAGACTTATATTCACGTCAGATCATACTTAACCACTGTAATAAATCTGAAACAGACTCGGAAGAAAAACTGATAAAAGGTCTGGATTAATGCATACACACATGCCAAACATGGTTAATGCATTTTTTTAATCAAAATTTCCACATTTAGTTCTGACACTGTCACTGTGAGAGCTCACACAATCTGCACCACATTCTGTCTACAATCGGAGGTTGGTCTGCGGATTTCCTTCCCATGTATTTCAGCTCGTAACAAAGAGAAACCTAGAGATCGGCACACAGACTCTTCGCTTGTCTCAGATACCTGAGCTATGTAGACAGATAAAAAAACAATATCATAATAAGGGGGTTGATTATTTCTCAATATTCAAAATGAATAAACTAGACTGATTCCAGCTCTATACATATCGGAAAGGTCAAGTGATAAAAGTAAACTTAAATATAGATGCTGTACCAATAGTAAGAAACAGTCTTCTACAGGGGAAATGGAGGCTAACCCGTGGGATTACTCTAAATTCAGTTTGACTGCTCTAATACAATAACTTTATGCAGAATGAAATAGAAGAATTCTGAAGGACTGAATGACCTGTTTTATTATATTCTGTGATTATAATACTAATCATACTCCAGGATGGTGCATTAAATGCCCTTTTAAAAATAAAAAAAATAAAAGGCATAAATATGTTCACTTTAAATAGCTTGTGACTTTTTTGATGTTTTGTCTGTCTTCTCTTATCTGTATTGCAGATATACAGATATGATAATTTTCTACATCAAAGCCATGTGTCTTGTGAAGGACTGATTGAATATCTGCCAGCCTGTTCAGAAAAAGATTGTTCAACACTAGCATCAGCCACATGTTTCCAAACATATGAACCTTTTTAAAGAATTGCAAAAAAAAATGGTTTTCCGTTGTCTAACAAGACCGGTACAGCTAGTCTGAACTTGCCAAGCACCTGGATCGAAGACAAATTCAAAAACCCATTTTAAACTAATGAGTGGTATAGAAGAACAGATAAAGACTTAAAATGCATACCTGGTCAAAAGCAGGATAGATGTAGTCTGCAAACTGGATTTCTGCAATTGCAGTGGCACCTGTTACTGCAATTCCTATACCAAAGCCAACAATTCCCTGCTCACAGAGTGGAGTGTTGAAGACTCTATCCTTGCCTAGAGAGGAAAGAAAGGAATCTTGTTATTCATCATATGAAAATAAATACTGAAGAGTGACCATTCTGACAGATATTGTAACTATCCTTTCAATTGCAAAAAAATGTTCTTTACATGATACATTTACAGCGACAGCACAGTTTCTTTGTTTGACGATGTATTGTGTATTGGTTATACATGTTCATTTTCTAAACAGAAGTGAAGACAGAGAAGGAATATAATATTCTCCTTATGTGCAGTTCATTCATAACATTCATAAGTCAACTGGTTATTCGCAAAGTGTTTAAAATGGCCTTTGCCTTGACGTTATAAAAATAAAATAATAACCCCCCACTCAAGAGCTATCAACCTGCTTTGAACTCAATGTTGAGAGTCCATAGTCAAAACTCACAAGGAAAACCATAGAACATTTTGTTAAAGCTAAACAAATCTGTTGCAGAAAGAACCTAAGAACACAGAAAGGACCATAGCACAGAAATAATAATGATAAGGAAAGATAAAACAGATACAGTGACATTTTTACGGTGTGAAGTCAAGACAGTGCCAAGAAAGAAAAATGATCTGCAGTTAATGACTGAAAAAATGATAAGGAAGCTGATAAGGAAGGCTTAGTGCAATCACCGAAAACCTCAGAGGTGCAGGTGTGAAGCCACCAGAAACCACACAATACCGAGACATCAGAATAAGAAAGTATAAAGTGATCACCTGCAAAAAGAACAGAAAATCAAAAGTACCAATATCAATTTTTATGGACAGGCGAGACCAAGGTGACATGAAGTGAACGTGTCACAACAAATCTCTGGTGTGAACATGATGTATGCTTGTGATCTAATAATATCAAATGTGATCCTGGGATTACACAAAAATAAAACATACTATTTTCTGCCAATTATTCATATTAATACAGATTGCTTTAAGACCATTATGAAAATCTTGAAAGTCTACACATTCCACTGAAATCATTGCATTCTGTTTATCATAAAGTTACGAATCTAACGTCACCTTTTCAGGATTTTGATATAAAAGCCATCTGCGACAAGGGCTTTATTGTCCAAACTACAATGGGGATTTTAAAATGACACCATGCGACTAGAAAGGTTAGATGGAATTTCCTCAGCTCAATAGTGACATCAAGCATGTGCTCAGTCAAGGACACAGCTGTTTTGCAGACATCTAAATGAATGATACACTTGTGTCATAATTATGCTGAAGAAAAAAAACAGTCGTTGCTGGCCTACAAACTAAATCCACAGCAAACAGTGGTTCTTTTATAAAAAGAAAGAAAACACTTCATTTCAGCTAAGAGGAACCGGGAACTCATGATGCAATCAAATTCTGCTCAATAAAAATAGGGCTGGATTTTTCTTCCTAATCCACCCTACAATTTCAAAACAAACCACAGTATTTGTCTAAATTTAGTTAAGCAACTTTATTTTTATGCACTGCTTTGTTTACTTACAAAATATACCGCATTCACAGCACATCTTGTTTTCTCAGAGAAGCCCTTTTCATTTTGGCTGAGGGTCACGAAGTGCTTCAGGATGTCCTAATTCATGAACTGGTCCACATGGGAAAGCAGCTACAGGATTTCAGGAAAAGCCTCAATGTCCCTTTTTACCATGCCAAAGTCTGTCAACAACGCTGAAATAACTGAAACACAAAGTACTGAAGAAAAAGCGACACTAATTCTAATGGCATGTAGGTATAATATCTCTGGCTTAGCCCTCTCTTGGACAGAAATGGGAAACCTCTAAAATAGTGTATAACATTTTTGTCCCCATGCTACGGAAAAGATATCGCTGCTCTGGAATCAGTCCAAAGAAGAGCAACCAGATACATTCCTGAGCTCAAGATGCCCTACACTGACATGCTGGAGGACCCAAACCTTTTTAGTTTTCGACAGAGAAGGCATGGGAACTAGGCGGAAGTGCATTCATAACTAAAAGCACAGAACAAAGTCCTGACACGTGATTTACTAGCACAGTGCTTAAGAACCTATGACCAAATAAGTGGCAAACATCTGCCTTTAAGTTTACATTGCTGACTGATCAAATGGAAGGTAAGGTTGTAGCCATTTATTATTCGCATCCAGTTTTACTACTATCTAGCTGAAACTATGTGAATGTGCATAGTCCTTACCCAAAGGGCCCTGGGAGTATGGCACAACCTTCCTAGCCATGTTGCTGGAAGCCAATACCCTGGCTTCTTTCAAAAACCAGCTGGATGGATGAGATCCTTGGACCAATTAACTACTAGAGAATGCGGGGGTCCAAATGGTCGCCTCTTGTTTGGGACCTTTCTTATGTGCAGAGCAAGACTGGGATAAGCGAAGTAATAGCTGGCTGGGGTTCTCTCAGCAATGAGCACCCATCAGAGGACCCGACAGTGTGTCAAAGGAAGATTGGCTCTGACAGGTGTCTCCTGTCGCAGTGGAGGAGTCACAGCTGTACTGCAAAGCCACATCATTAGTCACGATTCCAAACTAGCACAGTACATAATAACAATATGACAATCAAATGTCTCATTGCTATTGAAGCTGGTAAACATATGTATACTGCAGACAAACAGGATGCAATATTCAAAATCAACATGATCAATGTGGTCATTACATTTCAATGAAAAACACAAGAAACAGTCAGAGATGCAAGTGCACAGATGTGTGTTTCAAGCTTAAGAACCTCTTGTTTATCAACTGTTAAACTAGAAACAGTGTAAGACTGAGCTTGAACAGGTATTTTAGTTGCTCCATATTTTAGCACTCCAATCATCGCCAACATTTTTGCATAAAAAAGCATAAGCAGAAGCAGGAGGGATAGACTAAGATGGTAAAAGGGAACGAGTCTTAATTTTGTATTTTTCATTCGAGACCCATCCTGCACCACCGATTCGTTGCAAGATAATACAATACTGGTAAGTATCATTGCAACATATAGTATAATTGTTATTTTTTGTAATAGTTCTGGTAAGTGTAATTCTACAATAAGGTGGACGTTAATGCCAATAACTCCTTCTTTTCATCATAAAAACAATTCCTGAAGGCAATGGGTTTCCTCAACATTGTCTAAGTTGTTTTTCAGCTCTTGCAACAGACATGTAAGCCTGTATTAAATGATACAATGGCCACTACAATGGCGTGGACTGAAGTGCTCACAAGATAAAGAGCCCTGCTGTAAAACCTTCTGAGTGGAATTTGCCTTTTTCAGCTGTTTCCTTGGTAACCATGGAAGCACAAACTACATTCTATGGCGCACAAGCTTGTTCAAGAGGACTGAACGTCCACTAAGTTCTGCACTGAATTCTTGCAGCTTGCGGTAAAAGCAACCATGAATTTCTCAACACCTGATAGAATTTATCCACGTACTCCAAGTTACAGGAATTTGATTTTGTTAACATTATCATCTCGGTATCTCATCTTCGTGGGACATTAATTCAGGAGAGTAAATATGCTATTTCTTCTTAGGTTTTCTGAAAGTACAACAGTGTCGTGTAGGGGATCTGAAATAATCATTCAAACAATAATACCATTAGAAATGGAGGGTTACGAAAATGGTGAAAGTCAGGAATTGACCGAGCAGTTTAGTCAATGAGTAGAATAAATGTTTATAAACCACTACTTGTAAGTGATTTCTCTAAAATATACCCGAGCAGCTGGTATACTTAAAGGCACATTAATTCTGTGTTCTCTGGCATTGTTGAGAGGAGTAATAATCCAGGCACACTTGGTTAAACAAATATTTATTACAAAGACACAAAACACAAACAAAAGATACAACACACAAGTTACTTTATGTACAGTATTTACAAACAAGGCGTTTCAGAGGCTTAACGTTCTGGTCACCCAGAAAACCCCAGACCGCTGCTAAGCATTAAACTCTTAATGCCTACAGAGGCCACACAAAAAATGACCTTCTAAGTAACTACAATGCAAGCTGCAGTTAAATCTCTCTTCTCCTTGTTCCCCAGATGCCACAAAATAAATGGGAGCCTATATCCCTATCCATAAAAATGCACCCTAAGCAGGAAAGATGTTTCTAACTGAGGTATCTTTTACCCAGGAAACCGAAGTTCCCTAAAAACACAGAAAAGCACGCTCTCTCTAACAAGGTTCAAATACTTGGCTCCAGTCAGGTTTTGCCTGGATGCTCTCGCCTGGCAAAAGCTCTCAACTACCAACTCCTCCAGACTCTTCTCTCTTCTCTTCTTCTCTTTTCTTTCTCCTCCCCTTCTCTGTCCTCTTAATGTGATCTTACAGTATACTGTGTGTCTGTACTGCTCCTTGACAATCATGAATCCACATCTTACCTAGGTATACCAAGGTAAACTTTACAATTGTCCTCTGCTCAAAGGACCCCCCAGACCTTAGCATACATCCTCTCTCCTTTGAAGTTAGAAGTGTTTACTCGGCCAAGTGTCACAAACTCCATCTAAAATCCAAGAGACACTTTTCAGTCACCTAAAGCTGTAACAATACATTTGATTGTTCTGTTGCATTTCACTGTGCTGGATTGCACTTAAAGATGACTACACTTTTGTTGGTTAGCAAATAAATTACACGGTAAAATATATGGCTGTAATCTGTGGACAAATGTCACTTGCTGAGTCCCATATTACTCTCACTGACACCCAGATCGCACTCATCAGATGGGATGACCCCAGGCAGCACTGGTGCAGCTCGAGCTCTTCTTGTGATAGGGATCAACATAAATGGTTACCTGAAACCTCTAAACATATTCGACTTGAGCTTCACACCCACAGAACATACACACAAAACGGATACATTTCTTTTTCTTTGATGGAAAATGGGGGAAAAAAATAGAGTAAAACAACAACCCACATTGCAAATACAGGAAAATATCCCTTTCTGGAGAGTGACAGAAAGTGCTGCTTGTTTTTGAAAAGCGTCATTTCCTGCGTCATTCTCGCTCTCTGTGATCTGATATCAATCTAATCCGAAAAGAGAGAGCCCTTTTACAGTAACATTCATTTATATGGTAATGAGA